ATAAATATAATATAGTATAATATATTATATTATATTATATTATAATATAATGTAATATAATTTTATATCATTTATTTAAATAATATTGTTTTTAATTCTTCAGATTCTCTTATCGCGACATATTCGATTACGGGCCGGTCGGCGATATAATTTGTCGCCGAGAGCGCGACTTGTGCCCCCTATTATGCAAAATTACAACGACAACAACAACAACGGGATCGTCTCGTTCTCCACTCGAGAAAAATCGGGGTCGGCTCTTCGGGCCCCGAAGAGGTGGCCGAGAGTCATCAATTACGATTGGAAATAAATCGAAGGCAGATGCGACGATCGCCCTTAGGGCCCGTCTCGCGGCGGGTGACCGAATTCTCAGCCCTTAGCAGCCCCCCGTGGACAATACGACTGTTTTCGGCAAATACAAAACGATACACGAGCCCCCCGGATGCGAAATCGTCACACTCTGACGCCGCGAATTTCCCGTTTCACGTATGAAAATTCCAAGCGCGTAGAAACATTATTTTATTTCCCCCCAGAGTAGGTACACTGAACAAAATTGTTAATTTGACTAGACCTTTGAAAAACATTTAAATTAGATATTAATAAAAAATTAAATGTAATTAAAATTAAATATAATTAAAATTAAATATAATAAAAATACTAACGAAACGTATATTTGACTTAAATACTAATATAAATAGTAATTTAGTGTAAAGGTTTAGCCTAGTTAACAAATTTTGTTTATAGTGTATACTTATCTAAATGCGTTTAATATAATACGTTTTAAAAAATGTCAATATTATTCGCAAATTCATTTCAAATTAAGAATTAAATTCTGTCGATTTTTACGTAAAGAAATTTCTCTTTCTTCTTGATGAAAATTTCCACTGTACAATTAATTGCAAGGAGAATTATCGGCCTAGTCTTATCTGGCATGGTTCCTGTATACTGTCACTTTGACAACTTAATAAAGAATAATCGGTCGCTCGTGTTGGTAATTCGTAACGAGGTACGCGATAGCTCTTTTATCTGTAGACCACAGGAAGTCAGTAGCGATAAAAATCCTTCGCGAAGCCCTACGAAACGTGTGAATGTTGTCGGTTTAATGCATTAAAAGTCTTGATTTAATCAATGAAAACGCACGCGCGCTATAACACTGAATTTAAAAAATATTATCAAATATTTAGAACTGATATTATATAAATATTTATAAAATAGAATTATATATAAATATTTAAAAAATAGAATTAACAAAAAACGCGAGGATATTTTTTAATTCCTCGATAAATTAAAATTCTAAATTGCGTCATCCTAAATTAGAGTCCTTAGATTATATTAATTAATTTGCAATCAATTTTTCTCGTGTCACTCGATACTCGTCAACGAGACGTCGTTGAAGGTCTCCTTTCGTAGGGCTTCTTATAAGAATTCCTTCGTCATCGCGTTACATTTTCGCAGCAAGTTTCGTCCTTTTTCTTTCGTCCGACCGGTTATTCGCCCTTCGTCTTCTTCGTTTGAAACAATAAAGCCAATTCGACGAGGGAGATTCGCAGATCCGATTTGACAGGATCAGGACGACCATCCCGGATGCTGAAGGGATCCTCCCTCTCGCTACGCAAATACGGGATTAAGGTGCATTTACGGCTTTACTTTGGGTCATATGTTTCAATCGATTTATACGATTTGAATTTCGAAGTGTCGATAAAAAGTATCAACCTGCTACTGTTGAATTCAATCTGAAATTAATAGAGGAAGACAATAATCGTTGGAACAATTTATATAAGAGGATATTAATATTATCACAAGTATATAAATGGTGGCTAATTAAGAATCTAGTGTGGGGAGCAATGCACAAATTATTTTTTCTTGATTAATATTTTTTAGTATATTTAGGTCCTGATTTCGAGTAATCTTCAGCAAATAATATAATTGAATCAAAATTGCACGTACACGGAATTTTCTCTTCGAATTTAATGAAAATCATGGTAATCGTGGGACAATATTGATGTTGGAAGAATTTTATAAGAGATTCTCTGTGATTAATATTTACAATAAAAAATAATAATGTACATAGTAAAATTAATAAAATATATTTTTTGGTAGATATTAATTTCAGGGTAAATTCCAAGAAAAAATGCTTTGTGTATGATTAATTCAATCATAATTTTTTCATTAAAATTAATCAATTATAACAATTATAATTTATTATAAATAATAATTTAAACAATTTTAAAAAATGTGCACCGCTTATCGCCCAGAACTCTTAGGGCCGATTTTTTCAACTTCTCGGTAAGTTTTACCTGACAGGTAGCACACATATTTTCGTCTCTTTTTAGATAAGTTCTAAAAAAAGAAACAAAGATAAGCTACTTGTCGGGTAAAACTTACCAAGAGTTGGAACAACCGGCCCTTAATTGGCCAGCTACCTGTGACATTTAAAATCTCGAATTCACGTTCCGAAATGTCAAAATACTACGACTGGAAGATATATTAAAGGGACCGTTTGATATTCGGGGTCATACAATGTTCGCAGATAGTTTACGCTTCGCCGACAATTTCGGCCTTTGAGATGGACCAGGTCCTTTCGTCAGAACTCAAATTCGTATGTCGAATATATCTTCTCGTGTTGCGAAGGGAAAGAACGCAAGATGATTAATAGAATTTGGAAAGGTTTGCTTCTATTTTGAACACATCGTGCTTTCTTCTTTCGTTCCGATCCTTCCTCGTAACGTCCTGAATTCTGCAGGCTTTCGAAAACAGTATACAAAGGCGTGCTCGTTTTACGTCCAAGTTTACTGTCACCAACAATACAATGGACAGGCGGGGAAAGTCATTCTGTCATGGGTCATTGGTTAACAGAGCGGAGAAAACTTTTGTCATCCTCCGTAGAAGCAATTCTCAACGAATCTTATCGTAAGAATTTTTCGGAGAGCGTCCTGCGGATTAAAAGATATATTAGTGTGTTTCGTTGCACAAGAGTTAAAAAAAAAAAAAACACTCGTTCCTCCAGATTACAGAATGCACAGAAATATTTATTGAATAGCCCTGTAGAAATATTAATAAAATGAAAGACATGGGAATAAATTAAAAATAGTACTGACTCTTCTCCATAAAAATCCTGATATTATTTTCGTATTAGTTTATAATACACATTTTTCACGCAAATCCCTAGAGTGGAACAATTAGAATGATGTCGATTATTTTTCTCGTATCACTTAACACGATGAAATCTAATTAGACGAAATAATATATCCACAGTGAGAGATAGACATGTAAAAAGAGTACATATCGCTTCGATGATAATCTTAATACACTCTCTATACACAGTTACACATCATCATCATCATCATCATCATCAGGATATTCTCGGTGTGAAGCGCAGGGAAAAAAGGGCGAAACAAGCGGAGAGAATCCGACGCAAAGAACGGCATCTTTAATCTAGAAATTCTTTACAAATATGTACAATGTAACGAAAGATTTTCTTTGTCATGTTACTTCTTTTTTTTTTCTTACGTACTCAACTTAAAGGTAAAATGCAAGCAGACGCAACGACTCCGCACACACTGACTCATCGACACTCGCTAGCCGGGGAATCATCGTGATTCACGCGTTTCGTCGATGATGATGAGCCACGCCGCTCGATGACGCAATCGTTATCACGGCCGTTGTGTCTCTTCTTTGCGATCAGACGCGAATAGCTTCGCTCTCGCGCGAGTGAAAGGAGATGCGGGAGAAGAGAAGACAAAGAAAAAGTGTATTGCGTTATAAAAAAAAAAATTAGACATGTTTTTAGAGAGCGCCATCGTGAATTTATTTGACAAAATATTAAATACAAAAACAAAATGCTTAAAATAAAATTAAAAAAATTGTGTGATACCTCTCTTCACGGAAAAAAATATTAGCTATCATAGATGAAATATAGCTGTATAGTTCAATGAAGAATTCTTCATTTAATTATATGTTTAGACATGGCAATTAAATTTAAGGTGTAATATAGAAATATTTAAAATTTGACTGCAGTAGTACTAAATTTTTTTTCGTATGCGAGAAAATGTGAGTTTGTCTATTCTATAAAAATAATTTCAATATTAAAATATGACATATATGAAAGTCAAAAAGAATTTTTAAAAACTAAGAAAAATTAAATCTAAGAAAGTTTAAAAAAACCCAAGAAAATTTAAGAAAAAGGTTGACATATATGAAAGTTAAAAAATTTTTTTTTAATTAAGAAAAACTAAATCTAAGAAACCTAAGAAAATTTAAGAAAAAGTTTAATATTAGATATAAAGATAAATTGATGACAAATTTTTTTTTTTTAAGAAAAAGCATGCAAAAAAAAAAAATGTTATTATTTTTAAAAAAGATAAAAATAAAATATTACACGCGCAAAGAGACACTGAGCAGCCGTGACTTCTTGACGTAAGCAAAGTTGCCTGTTCTGCGACACTATTGATAAATTCTCTTTACAAACGATCGTGTTGCTAACGTTTTACGATAGAACGTAAGCATTAAATTGGCCCAGGATAGATTTCCACAATGTTGTCTAGCCCTAAAATAATCGGTGATCGTTTCATTAAATGACGAATCATGTGTCGGATCGCAGGATATACTTATGTTAAGCACGCGATGTTAACGAGCGCTTTGACCTTCGGATTGATTGGTACATCGGAGATGAGCGCTATTTTTATCACCGTTGCAAAAATGATGGAAATAAATTGTTACTCTCATTTTTATTGGAATTTATCGCGCGAGTAATATTGATGATTAATCAATCGAGAGAGTCTAAACAAGCCTATGACGAACGATTAATTTAATCGCAATCAACTGTAAAAGAGTTAAACTTTTAAACTATAATAAAATACATATTTATATACATTTGATATATATAAATATATATTTCACGATACTATATATATTTTTTATATATATTTATAATATATATATACATTACAAATATTATAAATATTTAAATAATCATTGCATATTTATAAAATATATATATATAATTATTAAATATTTATATAATTACAATTTATATATATATTTACGTATTTATGAAAAACTTTGAACTCGTGGATGAAACGTGGATGAAACTCGCTTAGCGCTAAAACGACTGCTGTGAGAGCATTGTTAAAATTCAGAGAAAGGTAAAAAACCTTTTTAATGCGTAAAATTTCGCATTTCTCCAAATGCAACTAATGTGTTCAAGGTAACCGATTCTTTACGAGCGTAATAAAACGAAAGCAAGGCCACATTCCACGTTTAATATCCGGGACGAAAGCGCATTTGTCCACACATAACTATTACATTTCGTTGTCAAACAATATTAATTACGTTATGCTCGTTGCATCGCGTTTAATCATTTAATTCTGCAGCAGCAGCTGCAGCAGGCGAAATGACAGATACTGACGGAAACGCGTCGCAGAACAGGCGAGATCCGATAAAACCTATACATAACACCGCCTCTCGTTAAACTTCTTAAGAACGCGAAAAAACGAAGGGGAAATGCACGATTATCCCCGATATTTTCACGATATTTCACCTAATAGAACGTTGACGCGCTTAACATTATCGATCCAGAGGACAAAAGGATGGGCTCTCTCTCTCTCGTCGTCGTCGTTATCATTCATCATCGTCATCGGGGGCAGTCGGATCTACGCGGGCCTCAGTAGGCCCGCAGTCTCACCTCCATCTCGGGGTCCTGGCGATGCGGCAGATGGGGCTCGATGCCGGTGGCGGTGGCGCCAGTCGCTCCCGCGCCACCCACGTGTCGACTGTGGTGGCCGTGATGGTGATGATGATGGCTCGCCGCGTGATGGGTGTCGTGGTGATAGTGATGGTTGAGATGCGGCGGCTGCGCGGCCGCGGCCGCTCCGGTGCGGTAGGCCCGCTGCTTCTCCTCGAACTCGCGCAGCCGCTGATTGTAGCGCTCCAGCTGATCGCGTAGCAGAGCGTCCTCCTCGGCGGCTCGCTCCTCGTCGTACTCGAGGCAGCCCACGCCGTCGAGCCGGTCCAGGTCGATCCAGCCGCGCCACCTCACGCACACGCCGTTCATGATGAGATGCGAGCGCAGGTGAACCTGAAACACCGCGATCGGCGGGACGCAAAATTGGTCAGTGCTCATCATGTGTCTCCGACGTGAATGCTCGTCGATCTCGGTGGACGTTTGGGATGCTTCCTTCAAGGACGGTCTTGGGATCGATGGAGAACAATTTCTGGCTTGAGGTGAAATTGGGATCTTTACGTTGTGCTCTCTCTCTCTCTCTCTCTCGTTGGATGTGGGATTCATTGGAAATGGATGCGAGATGTTGAAATATTTTTGGGTATCGTGGAGTAATCCTGGTAGTCGATACTCGTCGAACTCGATGGATGATGATTTAGGATGCTTCCTTCAGGGACAGTCTTAGGATCGATGGAAAATATTTCTGGCTTGAGGTTTCGAATGTGTCTTGAGATGAAATTGGCTTTACGTTGTGCTTGTTTTTCGTTGGATGTAGGATTTTTCGATATCAAGGAATCTTTTCGAATTTTTTATCGCAAATAAAAGGATCTCTTATGTAACTAAATATAAACTGATATAAAGTAGAGAATTTAATATATACATCAATTCCTAGTGTGATATTTCAATATTATGTTCTCTTTTTCAAACATATCATAGATAAAATTCATATAGTACAGATTTCGAGAAGAAAAGAGTTAAAAATTTTGATGAATTTTTATTTTCTCATTTTATTTTAATAATTTAAGATCATTATCGTAATACTGTGCTATTTTCAGTTGTTGATATAAACTCATACAAAGTTAAGAAATATTTTTCGCACTACTGCATAAAAATTACATCTTGTAAAGGGTCAAATATTAATTCCTTTTATTCAAATATATTAGAGAAATAGTAAAATCCATGTGTTGCAATGAATTTCATGATCAAAGGAGTTAATAAATTAATCAAAATGATAAATGGAACGAACATTGAAATATTTTGACTGCTAATCGCGTCCAAATGATTATTGACGTATATTATTATCCTCGAAATCTACGTGGGCGAAGAAAATGACGAAGGGGCTTCGATTCTCTCTCTTCGAGGCCGATATCGGCTCGCTTACAGCAACCTCTTACAATCTTTTCTTTTTCGAAATCTCTCTGGGTTGTAGGAGGGCTCCATTACCGGGCCACTACCCGCAAGTTTCAATCACGTTCTCTGGTCCCCCTTTTTCTCATGTTCAACAACGGCGAACGCTTCTTATTTCCGGAGAGCGATTACGCAGATTGGAAGGTACGAGGCTTCGTGGTCTCTTCGTCTCGGGAAGAAGAGATGAGAGATCGAGTGAGGCGAGGCTGCGCCTCTTCCTCGTATAAGAAATCAATTACGAGCAGAACTCTTTATAGCGTACACATTTATAGCGTGCAATCCTCGTTGTAAAATTATTATCTCGATTATTGCACTCGTTTGCAATCCTCTTATTGCGAATTAGAAAATTGTGTGATAATTAGTCGATCGAGAACGCGAGGAGTATTTTAATGTTCAATTTACTGCGGAAATATGTCGAGTATTTCTATTATATTATATACATATATATGCATATTATTCTCATATTATTTATGTTTATCGCTTTATATTATATTCATTTATTTTTCAATTTATTTTCTTTTAAATTTTCCTAAAATCTGTGAACAAATTATAGAACAATAATTCTTCAAATTATTTATGTGAAAAAATATTTAATTTAATAATATATATAATAAAATTTTACGAAAATTATCTCTCTTTCTCTCTCTGTCATTTACTCCGTGTAATGTAGAATTGTTTTTCTCTTGGCTCGACATTTATGACTATTAATTAATCCGAGAAAATTGCCACGCGATGTTTTCCGAGGAAAATCTAAATGAACGGCTCTCGAAGAACGATTACCGCCTTCTGCGCCGACAGCGCAACACGGTGCTATTTTATTTTCTGGCAAACGACCCGACTTCCGGTGGTCCCGTCATGGAGCCCAGATATTATTACGAGGTCAAGAACGCTCGGGGAAACCCAGTCGAGACTGTATTTGTGATCCTGACGTAATGAACGGTGACACACAATTAATGAAATTATACTTAAAATGCTGCACGATTATTCTGTACATAACACATTTTCATTTCATATTTATAAAAAAAATATATGATATAGGTATTTATTTTTCTAATATACATAATAAATATAATATTGAATTTAACACTTAAAATTAATATAATTTCATCTTCAAAATCAATATAAAATATAATTAATATAAACGTGATAAGTGATACGAGATAAATAGTAAAAGAAATTATACAGGACATGATTATAAAAAATTGTACCATTTTCTAATATATATAATATTATCTTTCCAAATTCTTTCATTATATACCTACCTAAAAGTATAATAAATTAAAATTATATTCCCAAAGAATAATTTTTTCTATTTTGCCAATGCATTATTATGCTCGTATTCTTGAAATCATTAAAAATTATTGTTAGCATTCAAGGATACAGACGGCTTCGTTTATTAAGTCGTAATTAGTTCAGTACGAGATTCACGTCGAAGCCTCTCGCCGACGAAGAGGTAAATCGACGTTACATTCTCGTTTCATTCTTACAGCTGCGCCTGCAACAATGCACCGCGGGGCGCATTTTTATGCACTAATAATCGAGCCGCGGGGTGCGAGAACTTTGGGGGCCTTAAACGTTTTCGATAATCGAATCGCTCGCGGCTTCTGGACCCCAAAAGGCCTTTGGATTTTCACGAAAAAAATTCGCGCCATATCATCAAAATGAGAATCAATTTATGTTTAGTTTTCTCTCTCTCAAGAGAGAGAGAGAGACGCAAAGTTTCGCTTTCTCGCGCAATCTTATGCATATTAATGCCAGCTTCCAGGTATAAGGCGAGGCGGAAATATTAAATCTTATATATGCGGAGTTGCATATAAATATCAAGATATAAAGTATGACGCGCAAGCAATAGTTGGGAAAATACGTCTTTCGACACAAAAATTTCCGCTATGCATTTTTCCTTGTAAGAGCGACTTATGGTATATCTCCTGACGATTTCTACAGGTGACAGATCAGTGATATATATTTTTATTTATTTTTGTAGGCAGATAAAATTCAATTTATAGTAAAACATTTTTAAAAGATATTCGCATGATATATAAATAAAATATATTTCCTTGCTAAAAACGTCGCTAAAAAGAGATGTTTTTACCAAGGAAATATAAATATATATATATACATATATATTCACTAATGTAGATTATATATATGTTTTTACTTACTTTTATAAGCAGTCAAAATCTAATTCATGATAAATAATTTTAGAAAAATGTTCATGTTATATATACAATATCAGTTTCTCATAAATATTTCTTATTAATTACATTAACAAGGTCTGCATTTTTTTAATCGTATACGTTGTTTAAGATATATACACTGAAAAAAAGTTCTCTATTTCGTTAATTGAACATATAGAAATATTTAAATTAAATATAACACATTAAATCTAACAAAACGTATGTTTGACTGAAATATTAATATGTCCAATTAACAAAATAAAAATTTAATTGAACGGTTTAGTCAAGTCAACAATTTTTCTTCAGTGTACGAAAATATGTTCTCACCCGCGATGACATTCTCGTTTGCATCTGACATTATGCGAGACGAATTGCGGAGACATGTATATTTCGTGCGAGCGACAAGACACGGTCGCAAAATAAAAAAAAAAAAACCTAAACACAGCGTGTTACTTAGATCTCGACGAGAAAACAGGAGTATAAACGCGACGCGAACGACGTATCGTCATTAGTCATCGCCTTCCTCGTTTCTCACGGAGAAAAGAACAGTAGGAGAAACATTTGTTTTTCTCCTTCCGCTTCTGCTTTACGGGCGTGACGACCATTATCGTTGCATAATAGCCGACGATATTTAAACGCGCACGTCGCAACCCTTTCTAATTTGCATCAGCGAACCGAGGAAAAAAAGAGAGAAAAAAAGAAATAGAAATATATAGAGCGCGAATGAGAGATGGAAAGGGGTGAAAAGTCGGCGGCAAGGGCGATCCGGATTCGGAGGACGAAGGATTCCCGAATGTCCCGAGACAAACGACCGGCTATTTCTCGCTGGTCCCCTTTTGTTTCACAGTGGGCGTCGCCTGACGGCGCCTTTTTGCGCCTGGTCCACTACCCCGAAATGAATGCTAGCCCTTGGAATCATTCGTCAACGAGATATCCTGATGAGAAAGGACGACGAGCTGTGGGGTCAATATGGCGTGTCGGCTTTGTCCTTCGCCTCCGAATCCGGTTTTAGGTACGTTTTAATTTTTACGACGGCCGGATGTGCACGCTCGACCCAGTTTCCTATACCGTAAATTTTATGATTCTTAAGGGTGAAGAAAACCTCGCTGCGATCGTCAGTAAAAAAGTTATGCGACAGATCCTACGGAAATCACACTGAAAAAAATCCATGTACTTTTACATGGAAATTATTAGTTCAGAACTGGAAAAGTTATTTGCTTATCATTGGAATTTTTTTTTCCATTTGTTTTAAAGTGAAAATACATATTAATGTAAAAATACATGTAAAATATAGGTAAAATTACTATTTTTATGCAAAAATCATATGTAATTTTAAATTCACCATTTTTACTTTATTAGGATTTTATTTTATAAGTATTTATCTATTTTATTTATAACATTATTTTATAGCATTTATACATTCCTAACATTTTCTATGTGTAATTACATGTTCAGTGAAATATTTTTAATCTTGAAAATATTTAAGAATATATTATATGAAATTACATATAATCTGTAATCTTCCATGTAAGTATCAATATTGCATGATTATGCTGGGTCAGAAAAAAACCTAGCTTAATCATGTAATTTTACATAAATATTTTTTTCAGTGTAGTTTCCTTTTTCCTCAAGATTCCTATAAACATATATAGAAATCTTGAGGAAAAATATATATATATATATATATATATCCTCAAAATTTCCTATATATATATAGAAATTTTTCCGTTCCTACACAGAGAAAACTTTCTCTTAAAATTTCTAAGAGAAAAATTATAGCAGAATTTCTTTGAGAAAATTCTCTCTGTATAGATATTTTGAGGCCATCTTCAAACTATATCTTTCCACTCGAAGTCTTGAAATTATTTGTCGCGAAGCTATATATGCGTTCTAAAATTAAACAAAGCGCGATATCCTTTTATTAATCTCTGACATCGCCGATAGCTCCGTCCTGTGACGCGAATCAGCTGTTCGATCGAAGGGTTAAACGGCTCCGTCATTATCGTGCACCGCACGCGCGTTCTATCTCGATCGCGGATCTCTCCCTTAATTATTACGTCGCGCTACGGGGCACACGCGGCACAATGAACAAGGACACGTGTGGTCGCGCGCCGCTCTTTATATTCCTTCGCTCATTGTCGATTAAAACAAAAAGGAGGCCGCGGGTCGTGCCGTAAATAACGCGCCGCGAGCAAAACCTAACGAATCGTTTCCGATCCATTTCATCTCTTTTTTTTTTTTGCAAAAGGAGATATAAAAGAGGCTGGAAGAAAAGAAAGGACTTGCAAAAAGAGATAAGAGAGGCTGTGCCAAGAGTACCAAGAATAAATGTGCATGCTAAGAAATCAACTGTGAAATTGCGATCTTTCACTACGATTGATGGATGATATATTATTTACATTATTATATAATAACATAATTAATATAAATAATTATTTATACAGAAAGAGAATTTTCTCTGAAAATCATGGCAATCGTGAGACAATATGGTATTGGAAGATTATATTTTATAAGAGTTTCTCTGATTAAAATATTTACCGCAATAAGATATAAAATATGCTCGATTAATTTTACTAGGTACATATTAATATTTTTTATTGTGGTAAATATTTAAGCAAAGAAACTCATAAAATTCTTACAATATTGTCTTATGATTACCATGATTTTCAAGGTAAATTCTAAGAGAAAATTCTCTCCGTGTATTATATTATAATAATACATGAATTCATCATAATATGTTAATTTCAGTCTAATATTTTCGTGAAAATATAAGATAATTATTAAAAATTATTACATTCATCGTACAATGTTTTTAAAAATTAGATATATGTGAAAACTCACAAATCTGATGGAGATTTCGAAAAAAATTTTCCGTTTATGTATAAGTTATAAAACAAGCGGTTTCGAAAATCTAAAAAGGACGAGACGAGCGGAGGATTGGCAGGACAGTAGGACTTCTCGTCCGACCTTTGCGACAGAGATTTATAACCGAGCTATTACCGGCTGACCTTAGTGGAGCATCTGGCGGTTCGATTTGTGGCATTTCGAAAGCACTAATTGGCATTGTTGTCCACTAATAGTAGCATGGCTTTTACTTGCCGAAGGTTTATATAACTCAACAGAACAGATGAGTCCACAAAAGTATCGCATTTTCGACCGGAAACGGTCAAGAAGCTACATTTAGCTTTTCCCAGCAGAATCACGATATTTTTATACAAATTTTTGTCATATAATATATATAAATATATATAATTTGTCTGGAGAACAAAAATGATAGTCTATTTAAAAAAATATAACTTATAAGCTAAAGGAACGATAAATTTTTACTATTTTTTTCATCAAAAATAGAATGTAAAATGTGTATAAGCAGTTAGCTATAAAATAGCTACAGAATGGAGAACGTTCGCGAAAAGATCAGCGCGCGCATTTTGCAAAATGGCGTCGCAACGACGTCACTATTGATCGCGATGGCAACACCAAGAGGCGTCGGCTTTGGCGCCGGCGTATATATAAGCCATTGCTGACTGATTTAAATAGAAAACACAACATTATGCTTATAAAATAAAATGATAAAATATACATTTTTATGTTAAATTTTCTCATTTTTCTAAAATAATATTCTTCGACTTGGAAAAGAAAAATCGACTTGTCAATTCCATACGACTAAAATTCCTCCTATTATTTCCACTTTTAACGTAACACGGAGGGTAAATTAGATCAGTTCTGCCATTTTAAATAAGAATGGACCCCCGCGGAGAAGATGAAGGCCCGAGATTCCGGGAAAACCGGATGCAGGAATGCCACGTTGGCGCCTTTGTCCGAAAAGTGCCAGTCTCGGTCAGTGAGATACTAAATTACGGACGCGCGCGTGTAAAGTAAACGTTAGAAGTTGGATTCGTGCCTTTAACGGCCCCTAATTTACCCGCTCGTACGACCCAATTATGACCGCACGATCGCTTTCATCGAAAACCGAAAAGCACCGCTCCGAGATTCCAATTCAGGCGGTCAAAGTCTCACTTAAAAATCTCTCTTCTTTTATAGCTCTCTCTCCTCTCTTTTACGCAACATCTCTCACGATTCTGCAACATTTATAAATCTGCATAAAAAATACCCTCAATTCCCACTGATATCTCGAAAAGAATTTATATACAGTATATCCATATCGTTTTAAATTTTAGTTGATGTGTTTCTAAATTTTATTAACATAAAAGAGAAATCTCTTTTAATTTGTAGAATCTAAATCCTCTTTCTTGCATTAAATTTCGTATAAGTTTTTGTAATATTGGAGTTTGTAAATTCTAATGGGGCGAATGATGAGAGAGTTGTTTGCGGTCCACTATGATGACATGGTCGAGAGAGACGAGAATCGCAATAACCTTCCACAAGAATGGCGTTGACTTACCTTTCCATGTTCCTTGTCGAAATCACAATCGCAGGGATCGACGGCATAATTCCCAGATGCATTTCCAAAAACAAGCTGAAGATTGGTACCTGTCGCCGCAAAAGCGATCTCGGTGTGGCCCTCTCGACAGCCATTTTGAAAACGTACTTGTCGTTCTTCTTGTGGTCGATCTCTGTAACCCGTATATCTCACCTGCAAGAGAAAGATATTTTTATTAGAGATATGCTGATAAACATTTATTAAGGAATTGTAATTATCAAGAGATATATCGAAAAAAATTGATTTGTGAATTTTAACCCTTTATATCTTTTATATCTTTATGTACACTTAATTAATGTGTTTTATATTTGTTAATAATGTTCTTCAAACACAATGATTTTGTGAAAATAAAATATGAAAAAACAATCAAATATAATTGCAAATATAAATGTCGTATGTAGCGATAATAAAATCGCATTGGAAGATAACTATTTTAGAAACAACATATCGAATATTATTTCGAAGTTTCTCCAAGATTTCAGATAGTCTGATTCACCGAGAATAAAATTATCAAAATAAGAGAGAACACCCAGAATATTAATTTGTCACTCGACAATCATCGCTCGACGTGATTCAAAGATTAAACAAATTCGAAGAAAAAGCAACATTCCTGCGGCATGATATCGCGTATTTCAGGTCGACAAACGACGGGGAATCCTTTACCTGTAGTTTCGAAATGTCTACGCGTTACACCACGTAATTCGAAAAATATTTCTTACGATATCTATTGATTCAAGATCGATCAGCGAAAACTGGCACAAGAATTACGTCGATTTTATAACGAGGCAATAATTATCATTCCTAGAATAAACGCAATATAATTTTCTCGTAAATATTAACACTAGTGCGAAAATACCACTTAAAATTTTCAAGAAAATTGACCATTTTGATTATTTCTCAGAAACAATATATCGCATAAATCTGAAAGCTATCATATATCCAAAAAAAGTTGTCGATTACCCGATATTCTAGAAAACATATTACAAATAACGTGAATAATAAGTGTATAATTGAATAATAAATAATATAAATGTATAACACATTTGCATTATTTATTGTATACTTTTTTACTTATTCTTCAAGTAATTTCACATATTTTTTTACAATATCCCCTAGCTTCGATATTTCTAAACAAAATTTAATAGTGTCTCATGTAATATATCTTTGCATATAATCGCTTTCTCGCGGCAAAGCATGTAAGATTAAATTATTACACGTTAAATTTTACTTAGTACGCTATTTGCTTTTTTACATTATTTTTCTTTCGCGACTATGTAATATTACATTTTTTTTATTTTTAGAAGTCGGAAGTCGGACAAGGTCGATATAATACTGTGTTCTTAAGTTAAAAAAACATTCTTCAATATTATATACGATCGATAGCAGATTGTAAATATAAACGATACATATGAGGAAAATATATTAATTTTTCTTATATAAGAATATTCGTAACATTCGAGTTTTTCCTTATATTTCTTTTTAAAAAGATTAAAAGCTCGATATTTATCGATGCAGGCATTTTCGTTTTCTCTTAAAAATATTGATAATTCTCACATATTTAACAATGCATTTCGCAATCGTTTTAACGCAGCACAAAGAGATATATATCTTCTTTCGTTTGCTAAAAATATTACAATTCGTATTCAAAAATGAATAAAGAAAAATAGTTAAAAAAAGACAAAATTACAGCCGAATTAATTCTTGAAAATCAATTTTTAGTCAGTTCTTATATTTCTCGTATTTACAAATCATTTTAAAATATCTTTATCTTTATCTTATTTATCTTTATCTTATTTATCTTTTTAATTTCTTTCTATTTTTTCCTCTCGCGTGAACTTACCTCGCTCTCCAAGCGCAGTTGTTTAAAAAGCTCGTTATTCTCAAATTTGTACTTCGGATTGGCTGCGACGCGAAATAGGTTGTAATCTAGTGGATTTGGCCGAGGGTTACTACACATCTCACACGTGCAGTGCAACAGCTCAACGAAAAAAAAATAAATAAAAATAATTGTAAAAAAGGAGAAAAATAAATGTAAAAGAAGCCGAACAAATTCTTAAAAATCAAGTTTCTCAATTCGATTCTTAGAATTACTCTCGCATTTTAAAATATTATATTTTAATTATTAATTTCATTCATTAATACTTATTTAATTATTAATTAACACTAATATTATTCATCATTTCAGTATCTGTCGCGTGTCCTCTCCAGCGGACTCACCTCGCTCTCCCGGCTCAGTCTCCTAAAAAGCTCGTCGCTCTCGAATTTGGACTTCTGATCAGGTACGACGCGCGGCATCTTGAAAACTAGCCGGGGTGGCCTCGGCTGTTCGTACAGGCCCATCCCGTCGAAGGGCAAAACGCCGACACCAGCGTGCTCGCTCATCGCGTGCATCATCTTCGCGAATTTTCTCTCCTCTTTCGGCCTCGCGAACGTGACCACGGACTGGTCCCCGACTTATCACTGTACTACTCACGAGAAAAAACGGCCCCAGTTTCGCTTGGGATATTCCCTTGTATATTTCCGTTCGACAAGGAACGTCGTCACTACTCGCGGACCGATCCACGCGTCGTGGTGTCTCGATGGAAACTGGAGACTGGAAAAACGAGGGGCCCCTCACGCCGGGTCTCGATCGAGCCCGGGAACCAGACACGCCCCTAGAGACCGCCCCTTGATTCCTAGCTCTTCCCCACCAAGAGAATCACGGGCTTCTCTCGAGCGACCGTTTATCTAGCCAGCCCGAGCTTCAGGCTTCAGCCCTCCGGAGCTGGGTCGTCGTGCGCACCCGGAACGGCGAGCGTGTGTCGACGCCGAGAGGGTGAAGGCTTGCCCCGACAATCTGGTCTCATGATTTTATAAATGGTGACACGGTAGAGCGTCGTGTCTCGCGCCCGTTTATTTTCAAAGCGCCTCGAAGCGTGTCTTACTCTCCATTAAATGCGAAATAGGAGCGGATGATATATAAGAACTACTCTCGACAAAAAAAGAAATTTAAAAAATACGACACTACACGATTTTCGAAAGGCGGTCAGAGAATTCTCGTTCATAGAGTTTTTCTTGTTGATCCTAAAATAATTTTATATCTAGAATTCCAAGCATGACCAACAATGCAACAAGTTAAATTCGTGTTGTAAACTGTATTAATTAATTTCAGTAAAAAAGATAAAAGATATAATATTTTATAAAAGATTATTCCCAGAAATTATCGACATTTCGATATTTCTGCAAGAGGAAAAAAAAAGAATTTAAACGGCCATAAAATTTAGACATAAATTTTTTTTGTCTCTCGAAACTGCAGCCATAAAATATATTTCCTTTTCTGCGCTGTATCAATGATGCAAAAGGATGCACCGCCTGCATAAAAGCACGGGGATTGGTTGGCTGACCCCTTGTCAAGAGAGGGAAATAGACGTGTCGAACGAGGGACGGAGAAAATACCCCCAATTCGGCAACCAAATGTCTACTTACTTAGGTAGCAGTGTAGTAACGTGGCGTGTGCATCCCCTCGAGGAAGGGAAAGAGATCTTCATCGTCTCTCTCTCGAGTGGCGGGGCTCATCCATTTGAGAGGATCATTGTCGAGGATCCGCGCGCCGATTAAGATCAACGACCCTCCGACGATACACAGCGTTTACCGGCCATGAAGAGATATCAATGTATCCTTTTTTTCCTCCCTTTTTATCCCGCCGCCGACGTTGACAATGTGACAACTCCAGATCTCCAATTTCACCGTTAACCCTGCCGTTCATTTCCCGCGCATTTCAGTTTATGCTGAAATATAAATATAGATGTAATTAATAGAGATGTAATTATATATTTTTAATTCTCTTTTAGTAACTGATAAATTTTAATTCTTAAAAATCTCATCAAACATATTCGTTTCTTTATCCATCGTTCGCTATTAAATTTTATTCATTTGTAATATTAATTATTCTTCATTTCATCTTTTTTATATACAGAATATTCACGTTTCTTTCGTAAAAGTTGAAGCAATACGAAAAATAAATTACATGTGAAAAATTAAATAACTGTGTGTGACCGTAAATTTCACTGGCAGAAAAGAAGATACAATTTTTAAACAAGAGAACCACAACAGAAAATAAAATCAAAATAAATATATAATTCGAAAATTAAATAAGATGACAAGAAAATAAAATATCTCTTACACCGTAAAGAATAGACAGGGAAAAATATTTTCAAAAATAATATCGTTAACTTTCACGCCAGTAGAAACAAGCTTGCTGGCAATAGGTCTGTTTGTATTGACTGTACTCTTGTATTAGTTCAGAGATTGTCTTTTTTGTTCAACATTGGAAGAAACAGACCTAATAATGGTCAACCTTCACAAGGCTTTTTTCTTTTATGGCACATATATTTTATGCCTCACAATTTAACAATAGACAAAAATTTTTAGTTTTATGGATGCTTTGTCTGTCCATTTCTATTGCTCCGTTTCTCTATATACTATAACCATCATTTTATTCATGCTTTCTTTTTTTCTATTCTTCACAGTTCTATTTTTTCTTTCAAACACCGATTTTTGTAAATAAATTTTTTCATGCCTGAAGAGAGAGAGAAAGAGAGATTCCTGTCTTCCCTGAAAAATGTTATACTTTTACTTATTTAAATAGCGAGCTTTTCGAAATCGTACACGGGTCGCTTTTCGCACGATACTCGCATGAATATTAAGCGGAATGAAAGGAATTTCACGCGCGCGTCTCGATTGAGAAGAGCAAATCTCCGCCTCCCGTCCTGCATCATTGGTCCAGCGGTTTCGCCAATCGCAATCTTCCGACACGAAGGGAGGAAATACGCGTGATGCATACGGAAGCATATGACATGCAGTTGACTGCGTAAAATGCTGCTCCAGCAAGAAGAATAAAGAACATGGCTCGACATAGATTCTATATCGTCTCGAGAGATTAGCCTCACTCTCATTTTTACATAAATATATACGAAGAGAATCTCTTCTCTTTGAATTTATCCTAAAAATTGTGATAATCGTATGATAATGTGGCATTGGAAGAATTTTATAAGATTTCTCTGATTAATATTTACCACAATAAAAAATATTACTATGTACGTACACTAAAAAAAATTATTGCATGCAAATAAATATTTTTATTTCAATACTGCCTTATAAAATAATTTATTTGAAACTAATAATGATTTGATGTAAAAAATATTTTATATAAGAAAATCCCTTTCAAAACAGATAAATATTTATTTGTTTCAAATAAATTATTTATAAGACTGTATTAAAATGAAATATTTATTAATTTAATAATTTTTTTCAGTGTAGTAAATTTTACAATGTACATAGTAAAATTAATCAAACATATTTTATATCTTATTGTGATAAATATTAATATTTTTTATTTTGGTAGATATTAATCAGAGAAATCCTTATAAAATTTTTCAATACCATATTATCTGTGTATTTATCTATGTTTATATATGTACAAATAATATCAAAATCTCTTTAATTTACAACTCATAGGAATTTAGATTCTTAGATTTGTGTGACGTCAAATGTAAAATTGCTATCTTAATTTAGTAATTAATTAAGAAACTCTAATTTAAACGTGTGAAAATTTTATAGTCATAGTTACAACTGAGGAAAAATTTTAACTATACGTAATCTCAATTTTATCACGTTATTAACATATATGTAAATATTTATCTGCAAATTATCCTTACATACAAATTATTTTTTAATTCCATAAATTAAGAAAAACGATATCAATTATCCAGATATTATTAATTAGAGCTATATGCTCGAATCTCAATCAAATTCGCGCGTGTCTCGTTGAAATGCGACGGAGAAGATCGATATCGTCGTGTTTCCGTTGCCAGAGAAACTTGGAAACTCGCGCTATATACTATAAACATTCTCGTGCGATCAAATATGCAGAATGTCGAACCGCGGAAGGACACTATGCGAGGACGAACCTTCCTGGCGACGTAGAGCGTACGAGAGTCATCGTTCTAGAGTGAGTTTCTATTCGTGCATTATAAATTTAAAGTCTCTCTTTCTCTTCTTCATGCAATCTACTCAATATTTTATCGATCAATCTTTCTTTGATTGCACTCCCGGAAGCTCCGAGAATCCCATAAAACCTCAAACATTTTCCTAAAAACAAAAGCAATTACAGAATAATATTTAATGATAGCTAAACATTATTATGTATCCTCATATAACTTTGTTGCATTTATATCAAGTAAAGAGATTTTCAAAATAATTATATATTTAATTCATATATTATATATGTTGAAATTTATGATTATACAATATATATTATCATTTTTAAAGGTAAAGACAGCCAAACCGACCGTGGATGTGAAATCTCCGGAGGACAGACCTCACGTTTCGTTCAACGCAAAAAGATTGCAATTGGAGCGCGAACGCCAGGCGCGCATTCTCAGGGACAATTTCATCCTATTGAAAAAACTTCGCGAGATTATGCACCGGAAGCGACGGATCGCCGAGGACACTCAACGGGTCCAGTGGCAGGAATCTAGATGTGTGAGGACTCGCTAGAGAAATCGACGGGACGATATCTTTGCTATCGCGATTACAATATTCGTGATTTTTATATTATACATGTGCTTATATTTTTTATGTATTTTATTTGCGATGGAGAAATAACATAATGTAAATGCAATTTTTTTTCTACTTCAAAATAGTAATATATGTAATTACCTATTGCATACAATTTTAATAAAGTTTTTGGTAATATTTCTAAAATTGCGTTTTTGCCTATTTTAAAATTGCAAGACAAGAAATATAATTAATGATTTGCAAAATAAGCTGTCTAAATAATTCTATTTTCTTTTTTTTCCTACGATGTACTTAGATTTCTAAACGTGTAAAAATATTTATAATTTTTTTTTCAAATATAAAATAATCCTACATGTATCAAATATTTGATTCAATTTTATTAACTATATCACAACCAAATTTACTAAATTAAATCAAGATGTAAATTAATTAAAACAAATTGATACTTGTTGCAATCACGTATGTTTAAAATGAAATCGATACATATCGATGTCATCAAATTGTCAAAAAGAAAGGCTAGATTTTACGATTACCCGGCTTTTTTATCCAACGACAATAAAAAATATAAGTATCTCTTACATTAATATATTGCAAATCTCATCAGCTTTATATATCATATAATTATTACGAAGTTTTACTTACTTGTAAAAAAAATAAAACTTTGTAATCAGAACAAATACTAATTAATATTTTGTCAATTCACGCATATATGTAATCTTTAATATTAACTGTATGCAAGTATAGCATAAACATTATAGCTTTTATATATTATACTGTAACAAGTTTCAAATCATAATAATGTCAAAAAAGAATGTAAATTCGCACATGTGCGAGATCTCAGTTATTTTGCTCTTGCTTTAACTCTTGTAAAAAAATGGCAAAATTTGAGAAAGAAAACTACTCGAACGAAGAGGAAAGCGAGATTTACGAACCACGTGTCCTGACTGACGAAGAAGCCAACCAATGTTTGCGCACTTTAGGAAGAACTATATCGAACAACTATGCTTTTGTGGAACTGGACGTCTCGTATAGAAATCTAACAGATGTAAGAGTGATACCGTCCTTCAGATACGTTCGTTATGTGAACGTATCGGGGAACAAATTGACATCAGAGGCTTTCCAAGTGCTCGAAACGATGCAGTATCTAGAAAAATTGCAGGCGGATCAAAACCTTTTAATTAGCGCGGAATTAAGACCAATGGACTCTCTACAGGTAAACATTCTTTAAGCATCATAAGAAATGACAGATTTATCCTAATAAAGTTATTTCGAAAAAATACAGGAACTCACCCTGAACCAAAACAAACTGACATTTGCTGGTACTTCTGTCATCTCGCACAAATTCCTCAAGTATCTGGAACTAAATTACAATCTTATTAATACCGTCGTCTTCGAGGCTGAAGAACTTCCGAATTTGACAATCTTGGAATTACGCGATAATGCATTAATTACTACAGCAGGTAAAGTAAGAAAAAAATGCAAAAATTGATTTCCTAAGTTAAGAATTTTCGATAGTTTCAAACTTTGCGAAAACTAGAAATTCAATTAATTCTCAGAATAATTATTATATTAAAGTATATTTAATTTCTTTAAAGGAATCTGTTGTTCCAATCTAAGACGGCTTTTTCTCGCCAAGAATCAAATTGAGAAGATCGAAGATCTTGGAAATTTACAAGAATTAAAGACGATACACTTACGAAGTAACAACCTCGTAAATCTGGACGGTTTCTCTGACAAATGTCGCAATTTGGTTCATATAAATCTACGCGATAACAAGATCTCAAAGATTTCAGAGCTGAAGAAGCTAAGTTGCTTAAAAAATTTGGAAACTCTTATCATTCGAGAGAATCCCTTTTTATTACAAATCGGACAGGAAGAAGAGGGAAGAAAATACAGACATATTGTTCTGGCGATGCTTCCGAGATTGAAGAGAATCGATAAAGAATTTGTGTTGGATCAAGAGAGAAACGAAGCAAAAAAATTACTTGAAACGATGCGCAAGGAAGAACGCAACTTTACATATTTCGATTTGAAAGATTAGAGAGATTGATAATATTAGCATTTAAGGTCTAATTTAAAATGAAGAAATTAAGGCTCTCGAGTACTTTAGAAGATACATAATTTCACAACTCAATTTTCAAGAGAATTATATATTTTTTCTTCAATTATTACTGATGTTAAAAAAAAAGATTTTATAATTACAGATTTTCTATTCATTATGAAATATAAATTATATCAAAATAATTTTCTTTTAATATTAAATAACTTTTTATTTTTATTAATATTAAAATTTTTATTTTTATTAAATATAAAAAAATAATTTATTCCCTATTAATATTAAATAAATTATTAAATAAGTTTGTATTTAATATTAATAGGGAATAAACTATTTTTTTAATTTAGCTTTTTTTAAACAAAATTAGAATTATGATATCCTATATCTGTAAGTGAAATAAATCAAAATAATTTTTCATAAATTTTTATTTAATATTAATAGAGGACAAACTACTTCTTTTTTAATTTAGCTTTCTTAAAAAATTAGACTTATAATATCTGTGAGTGAATAATAAGTAACTGAATCAGTGATTTATATTTGATATTTTTGAGATACCCTATAAATGTCGTACGGCCAAGTAGAGCCATCTCGCGATAAAAATATCAAATAGCATCTGAAAACTCAAGATAAATACTCCGATTTACATATTTATATCACAAGATAATTCTAGCTAGCGACAAAAAAATTCCTTGTATAAAATTCGTAACAATTTTGCAAAAATTATTACATAATAAAAATATCATAAAAATTGTTATTATATATATACATTGATAAATAATAAATAATTTCAAAAATTGTTATTAATTGCATGATTAGCAAAAATAGTATAAGTGATATATATATTAATAGTAATCATGCAAGAGAGAGAGAGAGAGAGAAAGAATTCTTACAAGACAATAAAAAAGGATACCAATATATCATTATCCGAATACGGAATTTATCCCAGCGATATGATAGGAATCTATTATCACTGAAATAGTCTTACAATTACTATTTTTCCGATTTAATAGACGTAATGACAGCTAAATCCGCGACGACAAAATATCTTAATCTCTTTTCTCTTTCTAACATGGCTGACCGAACCGATCTGCCTTGTCCGACACGAGAATCGCGATATAATTCGTGAATACGTGGTGCGATACAATAGATAACATTCACCGCTGATAATGACATCGATATTACTCGTTAGACACACAAATAAATGTTCAAGTACCTGTAATAAGGATGCTTTTCCTCTCCTTCCTCGGAGTCGTGGCACTAACACTTTCGCAGATAAAGAACACGGCAATAACTCAAGCGCGGCAAATTTGAACTGCAAGACAGTGCAAGACTGCGACGCGGCCACGTGACTAATACCACGTGACGTTGCGCCGGCGCAGACTGGAACTACGATCACGTGACCGGCACGACTCCTATTCCCTGAAATATATATATATATTGTTATCTCTTGTCTCTTTCTAACATGGCTGCCTAATCTATTTCTCTCTCTCATCCAACTTATTAGCGGGTTCGTAGATCTTATCCAAACACGGAATTTATCCCAGAGATACGTAGGAATAATATGTTACCGCTAATAAAGCCCCACAATCGCTATTTTCTGATTTAACATACGTAATGACAGATAAATCCGTGACGACAAAATATCTTAATCTCTTTTCTCTTTCTAACATGGCTGCCCAAAACGATCCTCCTTGTCTAGATGCAAAAATCGTATTATAATTCGTGAATACGTGGTGCGATACAATAGATAATATTCACCGCTGATAATGACATCGATATTACTCGTTAGAGACACGAATAAATGTTCGAGTACCTGTAATAAGGATGCTTTTCCTGTCCTTTCTCGGAGCCGCGGCACTCGGCACTTCAACAGGTAAAGAACGCGGCAATAACTCAAGCGCGGCAAATTCGAACTGCGATGTTACGTGACCGCGCCGGCGAGACTGGGGCGCGATCACGTGACCGCGCCGCGGACTGGAACTACGGTCACGTGACCGCGCGGCTCCGAATCACAGATTAATAGACAGATCGCCAAAGGCCTGCCTAAAGAAGAGACCGCCATCTTCGTGCGATAGACTTTGCCCCTTACCGACACACTTTGCCCCTGGTTCGAGTCCGTGCTAAATTTCGTAGACTTGACCAAAAGACTTTGCCCCTGGTGCAAGTCCAGGCTAAATTCGTTTGACATTACCAACAGACTTTGCCCCTGGTGCGAATCCAGGCTAATTGATCTTGAAACCAATTTGAGAGATTTGGCCCCCGTTGTGTGTGTGTGTGTGTGTGAGAGAGAGAGAGAGAGAGAGAGAGAGAGAGAGAGAGAGAATATTTTACATATGCATATATATATATAAAATTTATTAAATATAAAAAATATATTTTTTACACAAAATGTTTTTTTATTGAAATAATCACAATTTTAAATGTGATTTAACACAATGTTCAAAAATTTTTTAATTAAATTTTTTAATTAAATTTTATTAAAGAAAATTACTTGAAATTTTTTACATTAAGAATTTAAAGGCTCCTTATTCTCTTGTAGAAATTTATCACTACGCCAATTAATCACTTCCCAGACAGCACATGATATTATACGAATATTCTATATTCATACTATGAATGTACGTACAGTATATAATATCACCTTTAAAAAAAGGTAAAAAAAGGCGACCAGTTAAAGGCACGCCATTAACAAAAATTATCCATTGCAAACCCATGTAGAATCCTATCCTATTGCAAACCCATGTAGAATCCTATGAAAAATTAATCATTGCAAACCCATGTAGAATCCTAGGCAAAATTAACCATTGCAAACCCATGTAGAATCGTACCCATTGCAAACCTATGTAGAATCCTATGAAAAATTAACCATTGCAAACTCATGTAGAATCCTATGAAAAATTAACCATTGCAAACCCATGTAGAATTGTATTAAAAATTATCCATTGCAAACTTATGTAGAATCCTACATTGCAAACCCATGTACAATAGAATTGTATGAAAAATTATCGATTATAAACCCATGTACAATCGTAACAAAAGTAATGAAATAAAAAAAAAATTGCGCCAAGTGAAAGTAGAAACTTGTACCAGTGGAAAATTAAAGTTGCAGATATATAGAGTCGTATAATGAATCAGTAAAAATTTAAATTTGCAAATGTAGAATCGTACCATAAAAAAACTTATCTTTTAAAAAAAAAGATAAACAAGATGCCAAGTCCATGCGCCATGTGAAAAAGAAATAAAAAAATTTTAGTTAAAAAAACTGGGCGCGCTGCTAAGTTTCAAAATTACAATGCACCTTAAAGTAACATTAATTAATTTAAACACAAAACATATTTTAACTGTAATGAGTTTAAAAGTAACAATTTAATTTTAATATTGTTAGAATATTATTTAGCAGCGCTCCCAGTTTTTTTAACTAAAATTTTTTTATTTCTTTTTCACATGGCGCATGGACTTGGCATCTTGTTTATCTTTTTTTTTAAAAGATAAGTTTTTTTATGGTACGATTCTACATTTGCAAATTTAAATTTTTACTAATTCATTATACGATTCTATATATGTCTGCAACTTTAATTTTCCACTGGTACAAGTTTCTACTTTTACTTGGCGCAATTTTTTTTTTATTTCATTACTTTTGTTACGATTGTACATGGGTTTATAATCGATAATTTTTCATTCAATTCTATTGTACATGGGTTTGCAATGTAGGATTCTACATAAGTTTGCAATGGATAATTTTTAATACAATTCTACATGGGTTTGCAATGGTTAATTTTTCATAGGATTCTACATGAGTTTGCAATGGTTAATTTTTCATAGGATTCTACATAGGTTTGCAATGGGTACGATTCTACATGGGTTTGCAATGGTTAATTTTGCCTAGGATTCTACATGGGTTTGCAATGATTAATTTTTCATAGGATTCTACATGGGTTTGCAATAAGATAGGATTCTACATGGGTTTGCAATGGATAATTTTTGTTAATGGCGTGCCCTTAACTGGTCGCCTTTTTTTACCTTTTTTTAAAGTACGTGTAACACGATACTACTATGTATGCGTGGTCGATGATAATGATGACGGGGACGTTTCTTAGTAGAAATTTTTCATATTTCGACTTTGCATTTATATATCTCTGCTTACAAATCACGTAGAGCAGAAATAAAGACACTTTTATTATATAATTCGAACTCAATCTATTGATTAAGTCTAGTATAAACTCAATTGCTTCAGCCATTATTGAGGATTCGAAATATTATAAAGACTCAAATGTCCGACTCGCGTTAAGATACACGGTGTCTCCGCTACGCCCTTAACTGGTCGTGAGACACTACCGTGTCTCTTGATTTTCACATAGATGTTCTGGATTGCTCCTCCCGTTAAGAACCTGGATACCGCCGTAAAATGTTCCTTCCCTCACAGAGATTCCGACCAGAGACGGGGATGACCACTCTCTCGCGAGAGGCGAGAGAGCCCCGGAAACAAAAGGCGCGGGAGATACTCTGCCTCGAGCCTCCGCAGATCCGGATACACAAAATTTCACCATCGATCAAACAATCGATCTGGCGGATTTTTGGGAGGAACCGCAAAGAGGTGCGCTCTTATGAGTCTTCCCGACGACCAATGTAGAGGAACAGCGGAACTCAATGCAGAGGAAAAGAGGAACGGCGAGAGAAAATTTGCATTAAGCAAATTCGCAGGGCCCCGCAGGGCACCCGGCGGCCCTGCCAAGATAAGGAGCGCCACGGGTGGAAAATGCCCAAATTCATTATCGGCGTGATTCCGACAGGCCTCTTGCTCGTCACTGTCTGGCGGAGCGTGGTCGAGAGCAGAGGTTCCTGCGCGCGGATGCCGAAGCATCAGAGGACCCAACGATACCGGTGAGACGAACGGCCCTATATACTTTGTAAAGCCGCTAAATTCTTTTTTTTGTGAGTACCGTATTCGGGAGAGAAGCGTGTCACGGCCGCGGCCGGTTATTAGA